AATGTGGTCATTTGTAGCAAAGTAAGATGAAATTTATTATCATTAAGTCAGAGACCGACTGCAGTCAGACTTTCTAAGTAAAAATGAGCTCCGAAATCTTTTAACATTTGATTCACCATCCTAAAGCGTGCCAATGAACATGGATGTTTGGCAGTTGTTTAGTGATTGCAGATATGATCACCTCTGACAGAACTGACATATTATTATATAACTTATCTGAGAACGAAAAGTTATATGGGTAATAATTGATATTGACAGCCTTTTCTTTCTGATTTCTTAGCATATCCAGGAATTATATATAACATTACTACAAGAGTTACCATAAGTAGTGACATATACTTCATGAGTAAAACGATGCGTGATTGTTTCGAACATGGTAAGTGAGCTATGTTGTTGGCGAATACGAATTACTGATCTGTCTGTTGTGCAGACTGTGAATGAAATTTTTGTAAACAGAATTTTCAATCACTAACCGATTTATAAGCAGAAATCTAATGCATATTGTTGAGCAAGGTCTAAATTGTGCTTCTCAGTGATGTCATTACTGTGTATAAACTAGGAATTATTAATAGGATTATGAACTTTGTACTTGAAGTTTTCTGACATTAAGTAATACCACTTGAAGTTTTTGAATCTGTCTATTTTGTGCCTGTATTTCCTTTATAAATACTAAATGGATAGTTGAAATTTTAGGAGGATTGAAAAACGAAGGGCATTGTTTACAACAAGTAAGGCAAATAACTCCATTCTGTTAGTTGTGTTTCCCATCCACGTATTGAATTCGATAATCATATGGACGTTATGGCGTTTGTATCACGATTGCTTTGTTGTTTTTCAGAAGTACATTGGTTAGGCCAAGAAACTGTCCACACGTTTTCTGACTTGTATCTTATGTCTCCTGGCAAGTGATTAGAAGATTTTGAACTTCCAAATATTCAAGTCTTTACAAGTGAGCAACTTAACAATTGCTGCATATATAGAAAATCGTATCAATGGACAATTTACAAAATGACCATAACTGTGTTTATTGTTGAACACTTTCGCGATCATTCATCTGATGAATTATTTAAACATAAATAAGACAACTATATACAGTCTTTCGATTTTTGGCAGAAGTATACTACAAGAAATAGATTTGTTAAGTCTCAGATCCCGCGACGGCTTGGCAAATGTTTATATTTGTTCGCACTATCAGTCCTGCTAGTATTCATTTGAATATAATTCACAGTGAAAAAACGTATATATGTTGTAGCGGTAGATAAATCCCCCAAAATAAATAGCTCTGTAAGTTTTTGACATTGGATGTTGACCACATTGGTTTTAATGGACTCACTTAACTGGAGGCGCTCGATCATGCATCCGCACCAAATCATGATTGGGAACGCCGTGCTCAACATCTACTGCAATCGCTAGCCAGATTAGATCAGACGATTCACGATATATTGATAGCTTATCAAATATATTTTCGAACCTCCTCGCCTCTGTCTTTTGATTACACTTGGTGGGTACGACTCATAGCGTTGTCAAACTTCGAATAACTGTGGCATCTTTAATGTAATGGCCCTAACCACACATTCCTCAAAGCTGAACACGAGACAACTGGGGAAATATATATTCAACATTTAACGCGGAGAAAAAATTAACGATGGAGAAAGCAGGAAGAACGAATTCAGTTAATCTGAATTCATCGGGTGGCATGGATCGGCCTTGCAGGCGTGGTCATTTTTGAGTGTTGCCATATGCCTTTTATTCATATTAAATATATTGTTCTATCTCTAGCCCAAGTGTGTTCTTGTTACGACGCGGTGAGTTTGTATAGATAATGATGTGACGTTCACGTAAGATCTTAGAGATTAAGCAGTTACATCGTGACAAATCTACAATTTGGGGATTAAGTCTATTATTAGAGCACTACTAATATCGAAGTAGACTATAATTCTACATATATATAATGTATTATTTAAGAGAAACTCATAAACTTAGGCAGTACTACATATTTTCATAACGAAAAAGTACGTTTATAGCAAACATTTAGTTATTTCTTATTCTCATAAGCAGTTACTCGTTATTATAGACAATTCGCTAACGACGAAGCGTGCTCATGACCCTATAAAATTAATAAAAATATATATGAGCTGAAGTAGCTTCAACAAAAAAGGGAGATAGCCATTTGTGTATCAGAATACTGTTTTCAACACTATATTTTAAAATTTCACATAATCCTATAATGTATTTCCTGTAACAACTTGATCTTGCCTGTAAACTGGCATGCCTCATGTAACAAACTGTTATTTGAGAATAACTTATTATTATTGTTATTGAGATTACCTCCCCATGAAATTATAACGAATACTGATAAAAATAGAATGACATTTGGCGCGGAAAAATAAGTTTACAAGTTGTATATATAGTTAGGTTAAAATTACAAACAGTTCCTGTCACGTCTCCGTAATTTCTTGTATTCCGATCCATGTGCTTTATAGTAAAAAAGGACTACACAAAAATAAGCGTTAGGGAAACTGGAGTTTTACTTAGTTACTGATGACTATTAAATGATAACTGTCAACTTTTGTTGATGATTTTCGCAGTGATGTGATTTCAGTGCAGCAGCTGAAATATTCTTTATGTATACACTCCTTAGGAATCAACACATCATTTCACTATAACTTACGCCTGTTAGACCCTCCCCGTGGAGGAGCGTAGTTCGCCACTGTATTCTCAATCCAACTCTGTAGTGATCGCTACTTTTTTCCAGTCCCTATTTGTACTTTCATATCTGCTTCCTATTCTCGACCCCGTGTGTTCTCTGGCTTACCTCTTTTTCGTTTCCTATAAGGATTCCAAGTTAGCATCTGCCTCGTGAGTCTGTTTGGTGATTTCCTCAGTACACGTCCTATCCACCTCCAACGTCATTTCCTAATCTGGTTCGTTCTCTTCCACAGTAGGCTGTTGTTGCGTGTATCCGGTCAGCGGATATTTAATATGTTGCATGGATAAGTGTTTATAAATACTTATACCTTTCTGACGATTATTGCAGTAGTTATACACGTTTCGGCTCCGTAAAATAGGACTGTCTTGATGTTCATATTGAAGATTCTGACTTTGATCTTGGTAAGCAGCTGTTTTGAGTTCCGTATGTTCTTCATTTGTAGGAATTCTGCCTTGGCTTTCCAATCCTCAACGATGATACGTAATGTCGCAATTTTGTCTGCAGGACTGATCTTTCCGCAATCCAGTATGTTGACTTCAAGGTTAAGTCTATCGTCCGTTTTGGTAACACTCTGTTGAAAGCCATCCCTAGTTTACCGTAATTTCCTGCTAGTTTCTTTGACGTGTCATACAGTGTTTTCATATTTCCTTTCTTGCAGCTTTTCCTACTGTCCTTGCTGGGTGTTTCATTTATTTCTGCTAATCGCCTCCACTGTTCCTCTTCATTTGTTTGTTTGCTTCTGTGCATTCAGCTTGTGCATTGACTTTCTCTGTTCTTACTCGACTGTTGTTCATTAATGTCTTCTTGATCTTCATTTCTTGAATTTCGTCCAGGGTATCCATAGAGCTTCATTCCCTATGATGATGCTTCTTGCGACCCAGAACGTTTTACAACGTTGAAGTTAGTGCTTCTTTGATCGCTATCCGGTTGTCCTCCATAGTAGTTTCTTCTTTCAGTGGATCCTGTAAGGTTTGGAACCTGTTGTCGAAGGTTATCTTGAATTCAGTTTGTTATTAATTCGAAGGAGGTAGGTATTAAACCTCTGTAATGCTGTTTCCCCGGTTCTCCAGTGCTTCTTTAGCCTCAGTTTGATCTTGACTACCATCAGCTGGCGATCTGAAGCTATATCAGCTCCTCTCCTGATTCGCACGTCTTCCATAGATCTGAATTTTTTAGCGATACAAATATGCTAGAGCTGGTCCTCCGTGATGTGGTCCGGTGAGGTCCATGTAACTTTGTGCATGCGTCTGTGTGAGAATATTGTGCCTCCTATAATCACTTTGTTGAATGTACATAGATTTGCAAATCTCTCACCGTTTTCGTTCCTCTCTTAATTCATGTCGTCCCATGATATCTTGATACCTGGTGTTGTTCTTTCCGACTTTGGCATTTACGTCTCTCATCAGGGTTGTCAAGTCGTTTCTTGAGCACCTCACCACAATCGATTGCAGCCTCTTGTAAAACTGGTATCTAATGTCGTCGTTGCTATAATTGGTTGGTGTATAACATTGGATAACATTCATTGTGATTTCCTCCTTTGTTTTTAAGATGTTTTGACGCCCATGAGTCCATGAGTTTCTTATTCTATAGGTGCTCCGTGCGTTTACTTAGACGGTATCAGAGCATATCTCCTTGTGTATGGAGCATTTTGTTCCTCGTAAACGGAGTACAGTAGCCTCTCTCCCGTATACATCCATTATTGTCCAGATGGGGTCCAATAAGTTTCGCTTATTCCGAGAACCCTCAAGTTGTATCTCCTCATTTTCGAAGATATTTGGCTGGCCCTCACGATCTTCCGCATTGTCTAGACGTTGCGTGCAAGCATAAAGATTGTTGCCTTGATTTTTACAATATGCATCGGCTTCGTGACTTGCGAAGAAGCTCGGCTTTCATCATGAGACATCATAATTCTTCTTTCAATTCCCAGGACGTAGTTTAATATGTTTATTCTGTCCAGCGTTGTTTTATCATGGTTGTTTTTTTACGGGATGAGGATATTGACCATACACCTAGTTCTCCTTTAACCGGGATCAGGACCGGCGGTATAACTAGCAAAGCGGCTAATATTTCTATCTTTACAAATCAAGACACCTAAGTCTTTAAATGTGGACACCAATGACCCATAGCCACCAAGTACAGGAGCTCATTAGGCGAAGACGTTCATTCTGTTCACTTCTGTTTGAATCCATTGAACAAAGGTACTCAAGGTCGTGGGGGTGGGTTCGATTCCGTCTGGATTTTATTGTCAACGATGGGTCACGTTCTGGCAACGTATAAGGACCCAAAGTCTATGCCGGATATCTTCAAAGGCCCTGTCTTTAATCCGGTTGACGGTTTTCCTGAGGGCCGCAAGCGTCGAGAGTCCATAGTACGTTTTTTGTTATGTGGTAAATGTAATATTTTTTGTAATAATGGTGTCATATTCGCAATTCGAACATGTAAGGAAAAGTGAATCAGTGTGATATTAGAAACAAAAGTTTGATAGCAGTTTCCAGTCTTCCATATACATTTCCCACATTTCAACTTGATCAAGTTAGACCATAAAATAGACCATTGAGAGCTGTAAAAGTATTTTTTCTGTGTTGTCCCTTAGTTCTCTCACGTTTCTGTCGGTTTTAATTTGTGGGTATGAAATAAGTTTATTGCAACTAATTTAGGAGTGAGTTGAACTAGTCTCCGTTGGTCTATAGCTCTCTATCGTATTGTGCAAAATTGCTGTTATATTGGTTATGATGTCATATATCTATTCGGGTTCGACCCCCACCGTTACGCATCTAAATGTACCTACGCGAGCCAGACAGTACGTGGTAAAATCTAGGAACTACCTATTGTTTTAAAACAAATTGGTGAAGGTGTTTGTAGGCTATTTCATTATCAACACTGTACAGTATAATTTATAGGTCAACAGACAACCGTGTTTGTGGGAATTCGATTAAAATTGTATAATACTTCTGAGTGAAAAAATATTGACTAAGGGAATCCATAAAACATGAGTAATACATAGAGTCATTGGAATAGATACATCCACTAAAACCATTGTTAAATTGAAATTCAAGTGTATTAATTTTGGTAAAGAAATCGCTGAAAACACATTTGTGATATATTGATAACGGGACAGAGGTCATTTATAAAAATTATTTGGTGTATAGTGCTCATAGTAACCATGTTAAGTGATCTGGGACGTCAAGTATTTCTAAAAAGGTGTTAGCTTGTAATTTTCCTCTGAGGTCCAAATTTCGCGTGGTTCCACTCCGCTTTTGATCCTTATTCACTTTGATTTTTATCCATTCGAATCTGTCCTTGTAATGTTTTGGTCATATTTTTCCCTTTGTATTGGTATAAAGCGTGGTGAGGTAAAGCATTACAAATCATTCTTCGAAAATAAACAAAGATCGTTATTCTGACATTTCTTAAAATCAATCAGTCACTTTAAATGGTTTTTCTAGCTCCCATATACACTTTTGATCTTTACATAAATGGTTAACTAAACAATATTTGCATGCACGGGACGGTCCGCGAATATGCAATTAGTTTATCATTGTAGCTGTTCAACTTCTCGTTGCTGTAACCTTTTACGTATATGCGTTTGGAAATCAGTCAATACACGTTTACCAGACAACAAAAATGGGGACCTCATTAGATACTGCTTCTACTATTCTGGGATTCGGTCTGACGATTTCATCTCTGTGCTAATGGATTCGGTATCTTGAATGGATGTACATAAGTACCATGTTCTACGTTATGACTGATTTCTAAAAAGGCTACACGACGATCATTTTATCCGTTTATAGTTAATTGATTTGGATTTTACGATACTAGTCTTCAAATTCTCTCTCCTTTACAGCGAAATGCCTCCAATGATAGTCCATATAATAAAAAGCCTAGTATATTTCAGTAAATGATTGTTATTAACCTGCAAATTAAATTTCCGATCACAAACTTTTAGTAGGCGAACTCGGAGGATTTCTCAAATTGTTTTTTTCCATTATTAATACGGGTAAAAGGCAAACTAAGTAATAAAACTTTAAAAAAGTGATTTAAACAGCTGGATAATATTGCTTTTGTGCATTGTATGAGGATCTAGACAGTAATTAGGTTACATCAAGTCATCATGTAGTAATGAGCGGCACTTAGTCACTCATATGTTCCGTACGTGGATTGGTTTAAATTGCCAGTTCACGATAGCAGTGAGCTAAAATTGTCACGTCAAACACCGGAGTATTTAAAGTAGCAACATCATCGTAGTACAAAACATTAGGTGCGAAAAAGGTGTAGGAACGATTCGGAACTTAAAATCTTAGAGAAGGCAAAGAGTAAATACATCTGTGTATCTGTTATTGATTCTGAACTACGTCACTCAATGTCTTCGATCACTAGTTACAATAATTGCATGAATACAAACCAGGTAGCCTGCACATACCTATATGGCGAAGTCCAATTATCAATAACTCTATGGACTGATGGCACGTTTTGGTTTAATCGCCCCCAGCTTTCTTCCAGCCTACTCTTACACCAGCCAATCTTGCCCGTCAGTGTAGACAGAAGTTAGGCATACATGACGCATCTACCAAACACCTCAGTTTATGAGGATTTACTACGTCATCAATCGATGTGCTATCCTTCCATAGTACCTTATTTGTAAACCAGACACTGCTCTCTCGGTAGTCTCAAAATACAATAGCGGTGCTTCAAAGATACCTATATTCGAACAATAGTAACCTAAGAGTATATTCTATTCTTAATAGTCATGTTTCACACTCATACAGTAGAACGGAGTAAACTGCTGCTTAATAAACGCGTCCTTTGGTTGGAAGACCACGCCACAAGTGACACAATTTGGCAAAATTCAATCAAGCTTTCTGATTCCGCGTCAAACCCCAAACCATCTAGACTAATGGGACTCCGAAGATAGGTAAGGCGGTCGATGTGCTCAATTAGTCCACTATCTTTAGTTAAGGGTGCCCCCAAATGCTCTGGTATGGCCGAGAGTGGGGTCGGCACACCCTTCCTCTCGAAATGCTCTCACACGGCTACGCGTATACAGCCTCTGCCAGGGAAGTCCTACTCACTGCCTTCTCGTGGCGGGGGTGTTGTCTACGAAAGTGAGAGGACGCAAGGCGGATGTCCGGCGCTCTAACCGGATCCCAAACCAATGGTGCACATGGGCTCCAGTATCCTGAAGGAACAAATGGTGTATGAACCAATCTTGGTCACCGGCCACCATGGGACTGCACCTCCTCACGATGCTCCACTGCCCTGTGGGTTAGACCTTTAGGTCAAATGCTCGGGGTGTGGCCCCCCATGAAAACCACCTGCTTCGGTCTGGGTACCTGGGCAGTATTACAGCCCACACACAAATACGATGAAATGTCGATATTTATGGAAAATACTTGTGTTGCTTCGATTAACAGTCAACGATTCATATTATTGTTATTATTATTATTATTTGCTAAGTCATTTGTTCACTCTCTTTTATTCCCACCTTATGTATCCTTATTTTTCGACTTATACAGCAGCTCACCTATGGTGGAAACTCGGTTCTATCTAAACGTTCTCGAGTCACTGCCCGGTTGAAAATTGTATGCTACCACCGAATACGAATACTGAAGCAATTTTTCTGAAACCACGTGCACCATTCAAACTGGCTGTCTTCAACGTCCGCACACATATGCAGGTCGGACAACAGATAGGGCTGGCTCTGTCAGTCAGTAATAACTTAGAACTTCGTACGTACGTGCATCAGTTCGAGTCGCCACACCACATTAGCACAGAGATGCAGTGGTCGATTCAAATCCCGTAGTGGTAGAGGTAATAAGAGTATAAGTAGTAATCGGGAAGATTAGTGTTTGGAGATGTTATTTAAAGAGTATAATACAGTGGAATAAATTTGGGAAGAGAAAAAAAGAGACAATGTGGAATAAGGAGATCAAAATTTGGGAGAACACAAAGAGTGGATACACCTGCGCCATTGCAAATGGTTTCGAGCCATGTCATTCAAGGTCTCTAACCATCGGTTGCGATCATCTCGCGGTCCCCAAACAGGTAGTCTACACCTATCAACATGGCTCAGTCCACTTGTCAGCGACTTCATGGACTTGTGTCATGTTTTGGTCTGGCCGCCCCTAGCTTTCTTCCAACCTACTCCTATACCACTGAACATCGCACGTCGAGGCAGCCGGTCGTTGGGCATACGTAACACGTGTCCCAGCCATCTCAACTGATGAAGTTTCACTACGTCATCAATTGATTTGCCATCCTTACCTAGTACCCGACCCCTAACAACTGTGTTACTTACTCGATGGTCCCAGGATATACGAGCAATGTTTCGAAGACACCTGTGATCGAATACTAGTAGCCTACGAATATCCTCTACTCTTACCGGCCATGTTTCACTGCCATAAAGTAGGACGGGACGAACTGCTGCGCAGTAAACCCGTCCTTTGGTTGATAGACGGATATCTCGCCTACGCCATAAATGACGCAAGTTGGCGAAAGCTAGTCGAGCCTTCTGTATCTGTGCTGAGATTTCGTCACACACCAGACCACAAGGGCTGATGAGACTTCCAAGATAAGTGAAGCGATCGACACGCTCAATTACGTCACTCCCTATCATTAGTTCGGGTGTCAATGCAACCCAATCCTGAAGCAACATTTTGCATTTCTTGGGGGAGAATCGCATCCCGAACATGCTTGCATTGTTGCTTAAAGTGGTCAGAAGACTGCATTTTGTCAGCGTCTTCGCCAAATAAAACTATGTCATCAGCATATTCTAAGTCAACAAGTGAACCTCCCGGTAGAAGTTCAACCCCTGGAAATTTAGATGAGGAGAGTGTTATCTCTAAAAGTACATCGACGACAAAGAATGGAGAGAGTGGACAGCCCTGAGGAACACCACTTGAGGTAATCAATTCTGATGACAGTTCGCCATAAGCTCTCACTCTACCAGTTGTGTTCGAGTAGAGAGCCTTTATAAGGTTAATGTACTTCTCTGGTACTCCTTTCAGTGACAAACACTGCCATAGAACCTCACGATCAACAGAGTCGAATGCCGCCTTAAGGTCGAGAAATACTACCATTGTGGGGCGTCTGAATGCGTGTCTGTGTTCTAGAACCTGACGTAGTGTGAATATCTGATCTATACAACCACGTCCAGGTCGAAAACCGGCCTGGTTTTCTCTAATCTGCTCTTCACGAGCTTTGATTAGGCGTCGAAGTATTATTGAAGCTAATATTTTAGACACTATATTAGTCAAACTGATTCCTCTGTGATTGTCACAGGAGGACTTTTGTCCTTTCTTATAGACTGGCACAATCAGTGATTGAGACCAGTCAGATGGGATTACGTCCAGTTCCCGAATCCTACCTAAGACCTCGGGTAATCTCATTGCTAATACTGGACCACCATCCTTAAAAATCTCAGGAGTAAACCTGTCAGGGCCTGCTGCTCTCCCTCGTTTCAGATTTCCTATGGCTTTTTCAACTTCGTAAAGGGACGGAGGACCTACATTAATTTGCCATTCAGGTTGACTAGAGATCGTGGGAAACCGAAGTGTAGCTGAAGGCCAGTTGAACTGACCCCTAAAGTGTTCTGCCCATCGATCCAATCTCCTGGATTGAGAATGAATAATGTGTCCATCTTTCTCTGAGATTGTGTCGCTAACGGTCGGGTTCCTAATTCCGGTTTCCTTAACGAGTCTGAACACTTGTCTGCTATTACCTATTGCCGCTGCTTTTTCCATCTCTTGTTTTCACTACCCACCACTGTTCACGATCATTGCGTAGACTTCTTGTCAGCTTGCGCTTAAGCTGACTCCGATCTTCATTATGTTCAGAGCCAGGTGGGATGAGTTTCCGAGCATCTATCAGTGCGAAAGATAGTCGGATATCATTCCATGCTGCCTCAGGGTGGGCACCACCTATATGGCTGCCTAACTGTTTTCCTAGTTGTTCCTGAAATATACTCTTAGCTTGACTGTCATTAAGTAGGGCCCTAAGAGGTTTCCTTGCAGCGTCTTTCCTACGTCCAGTATGACGCAGACAGATACGCGCTCATACTGGAGCATGATCTGAATCTAAGCATGTGCTCCAGAGTGGGCGACAGTCTTCTATCGAGCCCCTCCATCGGTGGCTGATAGCGATGTGATCTATTTGGGTCTAACGTTGGGACGAATTAGGGGGTCTCCATGTTAAAAGATGTTTTTCCTTATGCTTAAAGTTAGTATTTGCAAGGAACAGGCGGTTATCTGAGCATAGCTGCAACAGACGGTCGCCATTATCTGTTCTTTGAGCCACGACACCATAAGATCCACCCAGGTGTCTTTCCTTTTCGCTTAGTTTACCTACTTGAGTATTAAAGTCACCGGCCACTATTACTACATCCGAGGGCCTAGCTTTTAGAAGGAGGTCGGAGAGGTTTCTGTAAAACTCATCTTTTACATCATCTGAGCTGCAGTCAGTGGGAGAATAGGCAGAGACGACGAAGAGGCAACGACGAGTGTCCCTATCTTTTCGGATCCTTACTGTTTCGTCCAGTCGGACGGCGCACAAACGACTGTCTACTGGGATCCACTCTAAGAGAACTAGTTCTGCCCTAGGACTCAATGCTATACCTACGCCGGCGAGGCCACGGGAAGCAGAATCTGGGCTTCCAGATACACGAAGTGTGAATCGAGTCGGTCCTTTATTTTGGTATGGTGAGGTCAAGTGAATGACACTACTTGGATCCTGTATGCGCGTTTCGGAGACACAGCACACATCGATGGCGCGGGATTGTAAAGTCCTAGCTAAGGAAGCTTGTTGTCCTAGTTGGCACAGTGTTCGGACGTTAAAAGCTCCTATGTGTAGTTTAGAGCGTGGTTTCAGGAGACCAGGAATAGCGTTCCGCGCACTCGAATCGTTTTCCCTAGCGGTGCGAGATGATAAAGAGACGTCAGGAGGGTGAGTCATGGAGATAAGAGAGGTATTAGGAGGTGTAGTAAGGATTTGAATGTGACCAACTTGGTCTCGTGTGCTGTTACGGGTATGAGGGCTGATATCACTTACCGGCTGACCACACCGTGGAAGGGTATTTCTTGAGGAACCTGAAAAGGAAATTGGATTAGTGTTGGTCTTAACGACCTGGGAGCGTGACCGCAGAGCCCGAGGGACAACTGCTTGAGGCCGGTCGCGCACGGTCTTTTCGTGGGTAGTTTTTGACGTGTTAGCTCCGTTCTTCAAAGGGCCTTACCGCCGGAGACGGAGATCCGTGAGGTAAGGTGAGGTGTGACATTTTTAGGGTCGACCTTTTCTAACCCCACCCCTCCTTGTGGGAAGGCAGCATCGCTGCCATGCTGGTTGTCCGGGGGAAACACCTTACTGCTGTCACACCTCTCTACAGTCAGCAGTACGACTTCGCCCTCAGACATTGAGTTGCTGCTTTTAGTCTTACCGTTCACCAATCGACCTGCCTGGCATGGTAGAACCTACAGAAACATATGTTCCAGCCAATATAGCTCGGTTGGGTCATCACGATAGGCAAGCCCGACCACCGCGTCAAGGTAGCAGCTTCGGTCGGGATTCCTTTAACGTCCGGTTGTTTCTCTCTGTAAGCCCGTTTGTCTGAGGAAGAAAGTTAAGGGCGGTCAAACCAAAACATAGCATCAGTGTTTGAAGTCACTATCCCCTCGTCTTAGACATGTTGATAGATGCAGACTACTTGGCTGGGGTCTGTGTGACTATCGTAACCAATGGTTAATGACTGGCTCAGAATCGATCACGATGACGTAGGCGTATACACTCTCTGTCTTCTCTTTAACCATGAGATTACTTTATACTTTTCTTTCTACGAACTAATTCTTTCTCTCTCAATCATATCATTCTACGCAGCCTTTTTTATATATTGCTACCAGTGAACTAACTACGTCTATGAATTCGGTGTTCATCTTGTTGTTGAGGTATGGCAACTTGGACCGATGCATATATGCGCCTGGTCCTACGTGACCGACTAATAACTATCTTATGCTGTCATCTGGATACTGAAGCCACTTGATAGTTTTTTTTTGTAATTCAATAACTCTAACATAAACTACGTTTTTTCTTTTAGTTGACTAACGAAGAAATGATAGCTGCAAGACTAAAACCTTACGAACGAGATTACTGCGCTCACCTTTTGCTAGCTTTCAGGAAATGCTTAAATGAACATGCTATACCAGCTTTTTTCTGTTCCGATCAGAAACATAAATATCTTCATTGTAAAGAAAATGACCAGTTGTATAGAATGAAGGAATACGAACGCGAACGCCGTCTTTTACACAAGCGTACATCGATTTCAGAATGATGCATAATAACCAGGATATCGCATTGTACAATAATCTCGAAGAAAACGAACGAATACAGACAATTATGCCTAGAAGTTTGTCTCATCTTGCTAATAGCTGCATAATAAACATTTAGAAAGAGGATGTTCTTCAAATTATTTGTAGTTTATACTCTGTGGCGTTTACTTTTTTGGTTTGCAAATATATACTTCTCAACTAGCTACTCAGTGATGTTTTAGACTATCAGTGATTATCAATATACAATTAACAATTATGACTTTTAGGGTCTCGGTTTAGTGGAGTACTGATAGATAGTATTTTCAGAACTTGCTTTTCACTTACTGGGTACAATCCTTTTAATTATTGTACTAATGGAATTGTTTTTTATCTTTAGGAATAGATAAATTTAGAAGCCAAGTTGTTCTTTTTCTGGCCATAGCATTCACATTGACTCTGGGTCCTCAGTATTGCGTTCAGAGTTCTGGTAGGATATCTGTAGGACAAATTAGATCTCATACTAGTCGTCACGAAATTCTTGAGAAAGCTGATTGGGATTAAACCTATTATGTGGGTGACTACTCAACTAAAATATGATTATAAACTACCTACTCTTTAGAGTTTTGTTGGCTGGAAGCACCACTTTCAGGCACCATGTACGGCATTTTGCGTCCTTGGTATTACATTTAGTGCCACCTCCTGTGTACATGTTACCAATAATTAGTTAATCAGTCATACACAACATAGGACCTAGCGCGTATATGCATTAGTCCGAGTTGGTACATCACACTAAGATGACGGTATGAAAATATCAGGACATCCCCGAGAAGGGAAATATTCATAGTATTAGTAGTAGAAACGACGAGAGGAGGCACGGGAAGGTTTTGAGGCTAAGGATGTAAAGGGTGACGAAAGGTAAGTGCATTTGCGTGTCGCAGTTGATCCTGGGCAGTTTTATCCATCGTTTTTCACTAGTGGTTATGCTAAATTTGTAAACCCCAACCAGTTAGTCTACACCTATCTACATGAGTTGGTTCAATTATCAATGACGTCATGGGCTGATGCCAAGTTTTAGTTCGGGCGCCTCTGTCTTTCATCTAACCTACTTCTAGACCAATATTGCCCATCGAGGTAGGAGGCGGTTGGGCACACATGACCTAACCATCTCAATTGATGAAGATACACCACTCCATTGACCAACTTACCATCTTCGTTTGCAACCTTAACTCTAACCTCATTATTGCCCACTCAGTGTTTTCAACACATACGAGCGATGCTTCGAAGACATTTGTGCGGTAACATTAGTGACCTACGGCTCAAAACCCATTGATATTTTTAAAATCAAAGTGTGCCTTATTCCTTGTTCTCACTCCATATATGTGCTGTTGTTCTAAGATAAATACTTTCCCTCGATTTTGTGTAACAGTTTATTGTGCAGGTCCACAGAACCAGAGTAAAAGTTTGGTAATAGTATATGCTATTTTATAAGGTTTAAGATATTTGAACGATATTTCAAGACCAATGAGCGGAAACAAAGTTATAACTATACCGTAAATTACGAGTAGGAGGATTCTGCACAATTTATATTGTCTATTCTCTAAAATTTTCAGCATAATGATAATCGGAGGTATCCGGAATATAGACGAACGTTATTATATTACAGGTGCGGAGTTAACATGGATCAGAGTTCTACAATCGTCACTTTAAATGTTAGAAACAAGTAGAGGCAAACAAAATCAGCCGTATTTTCGACGTGTCAAGTACAACGAAGATTGTGTTGCTTTCGGAAAGAAATACAGATAAGTATTTATGCTTGGAACACAGTTTTAAGCCTATTAATGCAGTGAGAATGGTAGCTGTGGTTGCATTAAAACCGTATTTAAAATGCCAGAAAGCGAATCGGTTATTCGTGGGACGTGCAAGTGTATGGCTTTCATCCTTATCACTTGTTCGAATATAATAAAAAGCGAAACTCAGTTGTCACACATGTGTGTACAACATACTGCAAGTTAAGCGGTAGGCTGACATGTGGGATATATTTTAGGTAGTTTGGTGTTTAGACTTACAACCTAATTGACTAATTCAACTTTATGGACAAGAAATCTGGCTCTAACGTTTATTCCTGAGGTGTAAGCACGCCAGATACTCTATGAAGATATAAACGTTTGGAAACAATAGAGTTTCGATATCTTTCAGTCTTAGTAGCTGTTTTTTTGGGGTGGAGTGACCAGAATGTTCCATAGTATAACTGTGTCCCGTAAGATAACTAGCTCTTGTCGTGCATTTCTATTCAGTCAGCAAACCTCTCATATTCACGTTCTGGTGTACATGAAACCTAGTTCATCAGTAGGCACATATTTTCCAGAACAAGACGACTATTACAATGTCAACAAACAATAAACTCAAGTCAGATGTCGATATGATGCACTCGTGGAGTACTATCCAACAATTGGCAACCTTTAAGCATATTAAACCGCGATCTACCGTTTATTGTGTTGGGAAAGGGCGTTCTACGCCAAGGGTATTAATGGTTTTACTATTGGTTTAATTTGAACTGTAGGAGCTTAACTAGTCCGTGAATTGAAGTTGCAAACTCTTACCTAGTAATAGTAAGTCATAACAGAGAACAAAGGTTATTAGAGAATCAACATTTCATGTTACTTATTATCCTGGAAGTATTGATAAACGGAACTGAGAGTGGACATCTGGAAGGTGCATTCGACCGCAGGTTTATCCAAGGAAAAAAAACAGTTGGAAAGGCTGCACAAATTTGTACGAGATATCAAAAGTTATCTATCAATAAATCTGAAACTCCCATAACATTACAATTTAAGAATCACCCATAAACTTTCTCCAATAAACTGAAATTTCTAATTAGGAAGTAAAAGTCAGCAACCATAACTATTACTGCGCACAACAAACCACAGACAATACGCGAGAAGAGTGATATGGGATAACTGGAGGGCATTAAATTAGGAAGGAAATATCCGAACGCAAATGCGGACATCACAATAACAATAAAATTGAGAACCATAACGAATTGTTTCCTAGCGCATTTGAGTTCAGAAAAGCAAGTTTTCTGGGCCTTGGAAGTTGTTGAAAAGACCATGGGTGTACCAATATCTTTCGTTATTTTTTCGTAGCATTTGTTATTATACTTATTTCTTAGTTCTTCAAAATGAGCATCGAGACCTTGATTTTTAAAAGTCTGCTTTATCGCTGGAAGGACTACTGAGGTGTTTAGAGAAATTCGCCAAAATTGGAGATAAATATTGTCTTTGCCTGTACTCGAGAGCTTCTTTGTTAAATGATAGCAGTCATTTAAAACTGAGTACGGGACAACAGATCTTTTTTCTAGTACTTGACTTATTGAATTTTTGAGTTCTGGAGAGCATATATCTAGACCACCAACCTTGGACAAATACGTTGAAAGTTCATCGGTGAGGAGGAAGTCCAGATTGATTGACCTTGAGCCCATCTGCTTTTACGCAGCAGCAGTGTGACCCACAGATAATTGATAAAAACAAGAAATATTCTTACATTACTTATGACTTCTAGTTACCTTTCCCTGTTATAGTATATCAGCTCAATAAGTCGATCACTAAGTTGGGAGAGCGTTAGATTGAAGATCTTAATGTCCCTAGTTTGATCACGGGTTTCGGCAGGCGACTGACTCTCAGTTTTCACATATATAACGAGTGAGCTAATTAAAAAGACAGTGATATTTTTCATCGCTGTGTAAATTCTATTGTTTTGATCGTTTATTACGTGTCAAGGCTACTGTCTTCACTTTAATGGAATTTATTTCAGTTAAAGTATTCGATTAGAGTATTGTTTCTGTTTCTAAATTAGTTTGTCGTCACTACTTTGAAGTACTTTGTTTTCCATTGTATCTTTTGGTACTTTTTGTCCTAACAATCTACAGTTTTTCACTTTTTGGTCATAAATCATTTTTTGACTCTGAGTATAATTGTATCTAGTTCTTCTTTTTAAAAAGGATCCCTGTTTGATGACTGGACAGTGCGAAAAAGCAATTGCCGACGTCTGGACTCTCGTTATCCTGTTGAAAGCGGTATGTGGTGCAATGAGTGCAAAGACTGGTGTGGTGTGTGCTACTTATATTGAATGGAGTAGTAGGTTATGCTTCTTGTGAACAGAGAGACAATTGGAACGAACAGCGAAGAATGGAAACAGAATGCAATTTGTATGAAGATGCAAGAACAATGAAGTCTGAGTCATTTTGAGACAGTTGATGGACATTTTGCAAATCACGTATTTACTATTTGATCATTAGATTTTATTACCAAGTCCTGTGATTTTTTTTGTCAAATACATTTGATTGTCTCCACTCGTGTTCTATTCACTACACTGGTACCATGAAATTTGCACGAATTTAATGCCTGCGGCTTTTCAATGGTTCAGTAAAAACGGTAGAGTATGGCTTTGTCAGCAGTGCTGTTCGGATGCAAACAGCTTTCTAATCGAGGCCATCTTGTTGGTAAATGCTGCAAGAAAGTATTTTTGAAAGCGAGGTCATCACACATCGGACAGTACTCGCTCTGTCGACACACAAATTGGTGTAAAGCAAGCTCAGGTGAATTCTAGAACAACTGACTCACACCGACCAAAGGAGAAAAAACAGTCGTCAAAGAGGTCTGTCTTAACTAAAAACTCAAGAAAAGAAGTTTCTTCTGTCCGCCGTCTTCTAAATGATTGATATCCAGCAGAAGACGCCTGGAAGCCGCGATCGCAAGTCTCGATCGGTTTCTAGCAGGAAAAATAACCTGACCTCAAAAGTCGTAGAAAATCGTCCAGCATCCCATAGTATGTTTGACGCGACTGTGGTTGCTTCTCCAAGCAACGTCGACGAATGGGTGAAGGTTGTAATGAAGAAATAACATAATGATATAAAAGGGAATCCTGCCCCCATAAAAATAGTCGAGAAATCGAAGGCTGATCACAATGACAGATCAGTTATTTCCCATAGAATCGCAGAGAATGAAAGCTCCAAACTGAAAACTCA